GACTAAGATCAGAAGGATCTTGACCCTATCTCCAAAATAACCAGAGCAAAAAGGGCTGGAGGCATGGCTTAAACAATACAGCACCTGCCCAAGTTCAAACCCCAGTACTGCCAAAAAGAAACAAAAGAAAGAAAAAGGATACTCTAACTTTCAGTCAATTGTACAAGATAATTTTAACTACTAAAGCAAATTTCTTTCCTTATATATTGGTGGCCGTACACTACAAGATGCAAGGGCTAACAATTGGTTACTTTGTCTCAGAACCTGTACTGGCTACAAGGAGAGAGCCCAATAAATGAGCCAACAGGGCAATTCTTGAAAGCTACCCCTACTCTCCACAATTTTCTGCTGCTATCAGTTAGACCATGAACTGGATAGGTAATAGAATGAGCCAGTTAAAACATCTCTATAACATATTATTCTCGGGAAGTCAATCTATTGCCCTTATTGCTTTTGCAACTTCATTTTAGAGAAAGCACATAAACCACTTCAGAAAGATTTGATTTTCTGCGATTATAGTAAACTTAGTCCTAATTCTGCGTCTAACAGAAGAGAAAAATATTTGCTCAGAATCGCCTAAGAAAACTTCGGACACATGAATATTCTTCTTAACTCTCCTTCAACCATTTTGTCTCGTGATACATAACTTTAGTCTCACTCCACCACCACTACCATGACCACAAGCCCTAACTTGCCAATGTTTTGCATGTTCTCAAGGATATAAGGACATATCTTATAAACTCTCCACATTCCCCTTAAGTTGTAAAAATCAAAGGTAGGTAAGGTCCTCTAACAAAGACTTAACATTAGGTTAGCATGAAAAGGATTAAGTCATAGTTATTAACTGTCAATTTCAATATCACTGATATGCTTGTTTTATAAGATACGGCTCTACATTTATGGCTTATGTGTCTACTTTGAACTCTAGATCTTTTTCTTCCACAATACAAATAGTTCTTCTATATGTTTATTAAAGTAGTTAATTTTTCTCCAAAATTGCTCCATGTGCCTCTATATAACTTATATTATATTTACTACTTGTCAATTCATCAAGGTAATTTGAATCATATTTAGTTCATTTTTAATTTTGACAATTTCACTAAAGAAATTCCTGAGTGACACAAGTTCTCATGAGGATGCTTATAGAAAACTATTAATTACCATAGATTATATTACAAATTTGGAGTGACTCAACTCTTTGGCCTACTGTAAGTAAACCTTTCCACTTGGAGTCACTACCCATTCAGAAATGACCTGCCAACCTTTAATAGCTTTCTACAGGATAAAGAAGAGGGCGGCAGAGTAGATTCCAAGAAGTTTCCATTATAGCTCCTTTCCAGCCTTGAAGAGCTTCCCTAAAGAGGGTCACCAAAAGCTACTGCCATTCTAACACCTTAAAGGATGCCTAAAAACAGAATTGACAGTAAACAGAACGCAATAATATGAACTGATAAGATTAGAAGAGCACAGGAGAAGAACAGGAAAGCTACCAAAAGAAGAAGGGATCCTTTGGAAAGGCAGGAAAGAAGTAACAACCACCTTCACCCATCTGACTATTGGATACCATCTATGGCCATGCCACTTGACCCTTAAAAATCAATGAACCCCAGAGTAGATCAGATTTTTTTAGATGACTATACATGCCCAGTTTTCTCATTAAACCGCCACACTGTCATAAACTTGATCCTTATGTGAGTCAATGGGAACCAGTTTTAAAAAAGTATTTAAAAAGTACTTTTGCTTTTTAATACCAACCTGTTATAAATACCACCACTTATACCAAAGTGATTCATGGGAAAAGATATGAATCAAAAATGTAAACCCATTGCCAACAGTGAAAAAATAACCAGAAAACACGACCTGTGAATTAGCCCATGGAAAAATTTCATTGAAGAATTCCCAGATGGTCTTGGGCTTCAAGGTCAGACAGATATAAAAAAACAGTCTCGCTACTTTAGTTCTATATATCACCTTTGACAAATTAATTTTCCAAAAATACATAAGAGTCACAAAGACAGCCAGATATATAAGCGGCTAGCTAACAGGTTTAGTAGCCTCAACTCCTTCTGGAAGTAAACCTGGGATGAAGTCAGGACTACCAATGTCCCAGTTCTGATCTGGAAGCACAGTAGCTGTAAAACATTACTGAACACAGTGACAGCCTCACCTTTCTCATGGCCTGGGATAATAAATTATAGGATTTAGACAGTGCCCAGCACACAGGAAGTATCAACAATAAGCAGGGATTTTTTGTTTTGTTTTGTTTCTACAGTTAATAAGGAGATATCATTATCACGACCTTTGATCAATGTTTTCCAAAGTATGGTCAGGGAACTATGAGTATCTGAATGACCTGAGATGCCTGCTGACAAAAAAAAGTACCACCTCAATGTATTCAAAAAAACTGTCCAAGAATGATGACAGATAATGTTCTTTTCTGAATCAGACTTCCCTGGAATGCAAATGAAAATTCAAAAACTGTTGATCCAGCAGGTCCTAGGTTGTGCCATAGCACACTGACTTGTCTTACTATGCTTATTCTTTAGGTATCAGGAGAATTACCCAGTATCAGGTGGATTTTCTTTGGCACTTTTCTGGATACAGTCATTAAACTGAAAGGTCTGTATCTTTTTTTTTTTTCAGGTTCATTCCTGATCTGCTCTTTTTCCCTAATGGTACTAATTTTGACCCCTTTATTCCCCTCTGACCAGAGTTGAGGAAACTGTGGCCTTGTTGTAGTCAGTTTGTACAACTTCCACCTCCTGAGGGGGTAAGGGTTTAAAGGCTGTTTTTAAAAAAAAAAAAAAAAAAAAAAAAAGATGTGATCCAGACCACACCATGCTCACAAGTTTAAAATATTTATCTGGCCCTTTACAAAAAAAGTTTGCCAACCTACAATTTGTTTTTAAACTGTAAATCTAGACACAATACAATATACTTTGAGACAGAATTGATTAGAACAGATGATATCAAAAGGCACTGCACCTGGTAGAAGGCAATACTACTGCCAAAGTTTCATAGATATGTATATCTATATACATCTATGTCTGCTGGAGAATGAGCAAATTGTATTTGGCTGCAGTCACAAAGTTTTAAAGTCCTTGGGAGTAGGACCGGAAAATAAATACTGCAATGGTTAAAAGTATTTATTAAAACTCACATTGAGTAATTTTTACAGTAAAGGTGCCTTGGAGAATGTAATGTTGTACAAAATATCCCTATTGCTTACAAGACAACAACTTAATTCTTCCTTGCAAAATGCAAATTGTATCTCTTCTGTGTAAAATGATCATCAATGTAAACTACTTCAAAAGCACTATACAAACAAAACATTTTAGTTACATTAACAAAATATTATAAAGAACAGTTGCAGCTTCTTTACCAAGTCCTTCACTCAGTTCCTTTCTTCCAATCTGAGAAACGAGTCTTTTTTTCCCTTTATGTGCATGCTGTGTCTTTTTCCTTCGTTGTGCATGTCATGTGCATGCCTGTGTGCACATGCTTGTGTCTGAGCATGAAAAAGAGTATAATATGTCACTGCCCTTTCTATGTCATCCATTACTGACTTCTCCTCATCCATAAAATAAGTATTCTTTTCTCCTGTTTCTAGTAAGAAAAGCATTTGATTGACTTCTTTTGGTGTGTAAAAAGAAAAATTAAGACATTACCCTATCCCGGAAAACACAAAAAAATCCAGAATTAAAATTCTAAGTAACAATTTTCTCTTTTATCTTCATAGAGCACTAATTTCCAAGGGTTTCTGTGATCATTTCAGACAAGCTAAAAATGTATTAATTTTATAACCTGTTTCAACATGTAATCAGTTCTACAAAACAACAAAACATCTTCCTAGGGAATGAAATGACACTTTAAGATGTTTGCATTATACAAAATGCACTGTGGACACACAAACCACAAGCAGTACAAATAAATAAAAGCTGGTGCAATGCTGCATACATGTTTGTCTTACACCACAAAGAGAAAACACTTGCACATTTGCACACAACGGCATTTTAGCTTGGGGTGCCATAAAAATGGGATTCAGGTATGTTGTGTAAATAAATGAAGCTGTAAACACGCCTGTGTGTCTGTGTGTGTTAGGAAAAGAGGGTTGTAAGCAGAAAGGGTGGGACTTGCCAAAAGCAGCTTTTTGAGAAAATTCCTTTTTTTCCCCCATTCATTCTTCTAGCTTCAGTTGCCTGGCACAGTCCTTACAGTTACTCACTGGCTTTTTATTCTAAAGACAACCAACAAGCTTTCAAAACTTCCTACAGTGTTTTTCACACACTTGAAAAAAAAAAAAAGGCATGAAATCATTCAATATGTGTTTTTATATTTTAAAAAACTATTAGCCCATTTTCTCCTTCCGAAGATCCCATGGGTTACAAGCTAAACAGGATCCTTTGTTGTGTCTCCCAAAATATCATCACAACAAGGTACTGGTAAATTGGAAAATAATACATTACTCTGGTTCCAAGAATGTCACCATAAATTGTTTTACCCCAGGGAGTCCGAATGCACGCCCCTTTTGGTGAATCTACCGTCCTACCAACAGTAAAGGACAATTTTAACACTCTTCGCCTTTTCTCTTTGGGCACTCCATTAATAAATTTGAGGGCTGAAAGAAGACGCCAAGCTGGCCGGTCTCCTTCACGCACCCTGGTACCCTCCCAGCGAAATATCTCCAAGCACAGCGAAAGTTTTCTGCCCAGGAGAGGCCCACCCAAGCCGGCCGGGGAAGACGAGGGGCAGATGGGCATCAGGAGCCGGAGCCTTTGCGCTCTTCCCAGCTCCAGAGCAGGGGAAGACAGGGAGGGCACAGGAGAGAGAAGAGGAAGGTGGGCGAGTGGGAGAGACAGAAATGGATGCTGAGGGGGTGGGCGCGATGGGAAGGTAGGGAAGGTGGGGAGCGCGGGGAGGAGGGAAGTGAGGCTGCGGGGTTCCGGGAAAGCGGGGCGCAGCTGAGGGGCCGGGGGGCGCGGAAGGGGGCCCGTCCTCACCACTGAACGCCCCTGCGTCGGCGGCCTCCTCCTCCTCCTCGCCATTCTCGGAGTCCGAGCGCATGGGTTCCTCGGCGAAATTGACCCCCTTGCTGGGGGTGCCGCCCCCGGCGGCGGCGCCCGCGTCCCCCCAGGTCCTGCCCTCATGGCTGAAGCGCGCGGCGCCTTTGCGCTCATTCTCCTGCTGCAGGCGCGTGAAGTGCTGCAGCGCGAACTCCAGCAGGTCCGCGGGCTGGTGCCTCAGCACCTCCACCGTGAAGCCCTGCAGCAGCTCCGTCAGCCCCGCCGGGATCTCGATGCTCATTCTGCCTCTTGTCTCCCGCGGCCGGCGCCCGGGCGCCGCCCTCGCCGCTTTCCGCGATCCGGCCTCGGACCCCGCGGCCAACCGAGCGAACGCCGAACGGCTGGCGCTACAGGCTGCGAGCGCAGCGCACTGGGCCCCGGCGGCCCGGCTGGCCCGGCCCGCGGCTCCCGGCGCGCGGCGGCTCCGTGCGGTGCTGGCGGCTGAGCAAGCGCGGCCCCGGGAGGGCTGGCAGCATCTCCGGCTCCTCCCGCAGCCGCGCCTCCCCCCTCCTCCTCTTCCCCCGGCGCCCCGCCCCCGCCCCGCCGCGGCGCGCCCACGTGATCCCCGAAAACCATGGCAACCCTCCTGGCGGGCTCCCGAGCCCGCCGCTCGCGCAGCTGCAGCGCGGAGGGCGCGGGCGGTAAGCGCGGCACCGGCACGCTCCTGGGGCGTGGGGCCCGGAGGCCTCCCGCCGTCCACCTGTCAGCAGCTCTCGCTCGCCCTCCATCCCTTCACCAGCAGAGCAGGAGCCACGCGGTTTGTCCTGAAACCTCAGCCTCCATCTCAGCAGTGGCATTTTATTTTCCTCCCAGAATCTACTTGCTTTGACAAATGTTGGCGATGTCTTTTGTTTAAAGTCATATAGTGGTATTTGTTCTCTTTCCGACAAAGAAACACTATCCCAGCTTTTGTGACATCTTCCTTTTTCTTTCAGCACATTTTATCCAACCTTGCCCAATCCGTCCTATTTATTATGTTTTGCCTTACTGATGCTAGTCCATGGGTTTGATACATTTACTGCTATTTATTGAGACAAAGGCACCATTTATTGTGAAGCATTTATCAAAGTTAGTTTATACCTTCAACAGGACAGTACAATTTGGATAAAATGTCCTAGTCAAAATAGCTGCTCTAGAAGCAAAAAGAGCTTTGCCTGATTAGCCTCTATTGTTTATTTTGAAAACCTTTCCTTACACTTTTGAGTGATTCTCAACTAAGTCTCCAAAACTTTGAATGCTTCAATATAAAGAGAAATAGAATTACCAATTTGTGCTTTTAAAGTAGAAGTTCTTGACTTTCAAATGAGGCTCAGTTTGCAAATGTTTATAATTTTGAAGTAGAGAAAATTATCTTTTGCCAATTAAATGCTACTTATATACACATAGTTCATTTCCTACAATGACCATATCATTGCAAACAAAGTAGTTCAAGTGCAAACTCAGTTTTTTTTTTTTTTGACGGTACTGGGGTTTGAACTCAGGGCTTCACACTTGCAGTACTGCTTGAGCTATGCCTCCAGCCCAAGTCATTTTTTTTTTTTAGTTTTATTTTATTGCCTTGGTTTTTTTTTTTTAAATGTTCCCTTAGTCAGATTTATCTTTCCACCCACACAAAATAGAAAATACATGACTCAGGAAACTCAAAAACTAGAAATCAGAAAATTGCATCTTACCTATTTGTTTATGATACATCTTATATTTACTCCGTGAATGAATGTATTTCCCTAGTTGGTTTCTTATCGATCTCAAAATAATAATAATTTTCTAATTGTAAATGTCAAGCATTTTAAGAAATAAATTTTCTAAAATATGGTGATCCTTACAAGTGACTGGAGGGCAATATTAGTCAAACTCTACTATATAAGTGATATGTGTTTGTTTTATGGAGCCAATACTGTAAGATACATTTGCATCATCTGTCTTCATTTATGATGATGTTTATATTAATTATGACTAGCACCACAGAAAATGCAAAATATAGTAGCAAAACAAGAAAATTTTATTTCTCTGTAATGCAAACTGGGCAGCTCAGTGATGGTTTGGTATTCCTTGATCATCAAGGACCCAGGTTCCTTCAAGCTCATTGCTCTGTAATTTTTAGTGATCCAAAACAATTGCTCTACCACCAGTCATCTTATCCAGAAGTCACTAAGAGGAAAGTGGTGGAAAAAGGAAGGCGACCCTCCCCCCCCCACACCCTTTAAGGACACTATCAGAAGTTAAACACACTAACTCCCTATCTATTCTCTTGCTCAGAGTTTAGTCAACATGGCCAGACAAATAGTGTGGCAAGTTGAATTTTCCAAAAAAGACAGCACTAGTACCTCCTGTCCCATATTCTCTTCTATAGTCTGACCTTGCTGCTCCCCATCATGAGTTGAAGTCGTATTTTCTCTCCCTGTGAATATGAATGAGCTTGTGAGTGCTGTGGTCAACAGTGACTGATAGAAGCCATACCAATCCTGTGATGGATGCCCTCTGTGGAACTTCTGGTCCACAAGTCAGTGAGCACAATAACATAATTGTTTAATATGCCTCTAAATTTTGGGGTTATTTGTGGCACAGCAATATTAACTGAAGCACACTACTATAGGATAAGTTTGGGAATGTAATCTTTATTTTGATTAGTTGCATGCCACGCAAACACTAGAGGATGAAGGAGACCTCAGCTGGGGAACATTATCAGTTTCTGCAATGGTGTTTAACTCCATTTCCCCAGGAACAACAGAAAAGGAAAGAAAGGGAGGGAGGGAGGGAAGAAAAGAAAAGAGAGAGAGAGAGAGAGAGAAAGAGAGAGAGAGACACTACTCTTCCAACCATTAATGAGAGCCACATTTTAAGGTATCATCCTCCATCTTGTGCTTCCAAGTTCAGTTATTTTTTTGTAGATTTATTATATGAGGCATGATCAATGACTGTCATTAAGCACAATACAGGGAGTAGAGGGGTCTCATTTCTCTAGGAGGGTATAAGTGACTCAAGCATGAAATACATAATTGTATTACATGGCTCCCATCCTGGGAGATCTGCAATAGTGCAACATTAAAAGAAGATATGTTGGCTTTAAAACATCTTTGCAAAAAGTTCTCTTATAATAATTTTTATTTATACCAATTCCTAAATCAATAATCATGACCTGAAAAGGTCAAGGTCAGTACGAATATTCCCGTTACGCTGGTACGTTCTCAGGGCATTCACTTCTCAAACACTGTTCTGGCTTTGTTCGCTGCACATAACCTTTTTTGTAATACTGCATGATTGCCTCTGCTTTTATTTTCAGAATATTTGCTTTTGAACTTTGGAGTGCAGTGACAGTGCCTTAGAGGGACTATTTATCTTGAATTGTTTAAAAGAACATCACTGGTATTGATTCTCTGGTTGCTGATTTACAAAGCAATTTGCACTAGTTTCCCAGAGAGTCAGACTGGAAGCGATTGCGAAAGGACTCTGAGAGGTGGGCATTGAAGTGAAGAGTGCTACCAAATTTGTTTTCAAATGGGAAAATTAAGCAGATATTGGACAGAGATATCAGCTTGCTTGTAGGCAGCTGCCAAAATAAGACAGCAGCAAGGATAAGTCAAAGGTTGGACAAGCTTTACAATTCAGAATAATAACTATGATTAATCAATCATGTAGAAATCCCTATCAGTACTATCAGTAGTTAAGATGTATGCTGATCAGTCCTTCTGATGCAAAAAATTATATACCCACTCATGGAAAAAAAATAAGCATGCAATTGAAAGGCTCTAAAAGCTATTCTTGCCAAGGCCTACAGAAACCATCAATCTCAGTTCTACGTGGTTCAGAACTGACTATGGATTTGATGTCTGATTAATGCTCTTCACAAATCCATTCCAATTAGTTGGACCATTCTACAGATTGTCTTAACAGAGATGGTCCAGTCAGTGTGGCCGGCCACTAGGCAAGATGAAGAAGTGGCCAGCTAGTATAAAGACTTGACAAGGCCCACTTCTTTAGCAGAGAAAAGTTTCAAACATTGGGACTGCATGTGTACAGGAACCTCACAACATGTCTGCTTGAAAGATGGTCACCTCACAGCCTGAAAATTTTAACAGCATTTCAATTAAAACTAAGTAAAATATTTATTCTCTAGGTGCAGCTTTGCAAAGAGTTGTCTCTAGAAGTCCAGTGGTTCTCAAACCCTGGAGGGCTGGTTTAAATACAGGTGCTCAGCACCACTGCTCTGACATTTTCAGGTCCAGTAGGTGTGAAGGAGGGCCCCAAAATTTGCATTTCCATCACAAACCCAGATGATGTGCGTGCCACAAATCTGGGAAGCACTACAGTAAATTTCCTAGAGAAAGAGCTTATACTCTCTCTGAAAAAGAACCTTCTAGAAGTAACTTTTTTTTTCTCAACATCAAAGTGTAAGATTTTCTTTGGCTAAACAAGGACAAAAAGGATTTATTGAACAGCTGTAAAAACTAGCAATGAGGAAAAAATAAAAACTCATTCTGTATTCTATTCTCCTTTAAGGAGTCTTGCAGCAAAGTTAAGGCAACTTTTTTAAAGCATCAAAGAGTGTATCATGACACACTACATTTCACACACAGTATATGGGTTTCTTTTTGAAAAGCAGATTGGATATGCATGTTTATTTCTACTTCTTGAAAGTCCACCAAAATAATGGCTAAAGGGGACTCAACAGAACAAAAAGGAGAATCACAATAAAAATTTAATTTTGTTTGTTTTTGTGTACATGCTAGGCAAGTGCTTTACCACTGAGCTATAGCCCCAGCCCCCAAATTAAATTTTTTAAATTTTAAATTAGACTTAAAAGGAACGAAATTCTGACACACACTTAAAGACATTATGCTAAGTTAAATAAGCCAGTTACAAGAAGATAAAGACTGTATAATACCACTAATACAAGGAATCGAGCATAGTCAAAAGTCATAGAAACAGAAAGAAGAATGATTGTTGCTAGGAGCTAGGAGCAGAGGAATAGAGAGTTGTTTATTGGGTAAAGAGTTTCAGTTTTGTAAGATGAGAGAGTTTTGGAATTAGTTACACAACAATGTGAATATATTTAACATTACTGAATTGTACCTTTGAAAGGGATAAAATAGTAGACTTTGTTCCATGTATTTTATCACAATTCATTTTTTTAAATTATAGAATAATTTAATTAGAAAAAAAAAAGCAAGAAAAGAGACAAAAGCAGATGATAATTGCCTAGTAGACTTTTGGGAAAAACTCAGGAAACTAGAGCACACTGAAACCCAAGCCTGGGTGAGGGGTCAGTGCCAGGAAGCCAACAAGAAGCAAGATCACATCTGTCTCACAGAGCACAGCAGCACAGAATCTGGGGGCCCTGGGTGCCTCTGAAAGGGAAACAGAGAGGAGGTTAAGTGTATAAGGTGCTGATAGTACTGTTCCCCCGGCAGCCCCTTTTCTATCCTGGGAAGGCTAGTAACTGTTCCACCCTATTTTCTCTGGAAATTGCTCCTGCACCTGTCACCTCTCTTCCTGAGTCATCACACTTTGTTTTCAGCTAAACCATTCTGTGGCATTCAGACTCTATCGAGTGACCTCTGTTTCTTGCTCCTTGCTAT